ATGTAGTTACCAACCTCAAAGACTAACTAGCAACATTTCCCAATACAAATATATTTTTTACCAGCTCTCCTGTAGTTAAAATAGATAATTTCTAAGAACTAAATGAATTCTGCTAATACAGTGCAACATTGCTTCTCCAGCGAAGTCTTCTTTCTGACCTTATCTATCTTAATCTGACACTTCAATTTTGTGTTTTTTATTAACAGTGAGTCAGTCCCAATTGCTGTTACTGGTTTTTTCAGGGGAAGGTGTCCAATAAAAAAGCTAAAAGACTATCTTGTATCTCAACTTTCAGTAACAAACATGCCCATTTTATTTCTTGACCAAAAATATTTTTTGTAATAATGCTGTACAAGAAATGTGTTTAAATCATCAGCCATTTGGTAAAGCTGGATGTGTTTTCCCAGTGGATTGCACAGCAGGCTGGTCAGAACATGTGACTTTCAACAAAACACTATAAGCAACCTTTCATGCCTGACACCATACGCCTCTTGCACAGTGCATTAAGCTGAAGTCATAATGGTGTTTTCTTCTCTTCAACCGAGTTGGGAGTATTTACCACTAATGTGCTGCTAAACAACATCAATCCCATCAATAAAGGTTGTTTTTTTTTCTTTATATTACTAGTCAAGAACAAACTTTTCTGAAAATGAAAATAACCGCATTGTTACAAAAACACATTGAGTGCTCTGCAAAAGGACAGGGGAACTCATTACTACCAGGATTTTATTTTGGACAGGATATTTTAATTTCTTCTATTCAAGTACAACATCAGTCATCTTCTAAAGTGTTAATATGGAGCTGTATTGTCTTTCTTTAGCTGACCAACTGGCTAACTCCAACTTTTTTTAAGGTGATTCCAGTACACGTTCCTCAACACAGCAGATTGTCCTAAATGTTGCCACGTTTTTTCTGAAAGTCCTGCTAAAATAAACAAAATATAGTCCAACTGAATTTGGGGCATTTAATTGTCTAGCTCCTCTAGACAGACTCTTCTAAGCAAACTGATAGGGCATTTCTCAGGGGAAACCCTTCCTTTGACCTGTGCTACTCTTGTCCAGCATTCCTGAGAACACCAGCTGAACTCCAGTTTGAGGTCAATCAAAACATGAAAAGTGATCTGATAGTCAGGTGCTATTAGTACAAAGTCATTACTTAGTAAGTACAGGTATTTTTTTAAAACACCTCTTTGCAATTGAGTGTTTCAGTGCCATGTAAACACTATTAAAGACTTGTTTGCTGTTTATCAAAGACTATGATGCTATTACTATGTGCTGCTGTCTTTTTATCAGCAGGTAAAAGGGCTGTGATCTTCCAGGCCAGCTTCCCATTTGTAAGTAAAACCTGATGATGTAAAAGAGATGTTTTTACTGCACTCTGTCTTTTTTTTCCGTCAACATGAGCATAAACTTCTGCTTGCAAAACACCAATTAGCTGTCCACCTAGCTCTTGGAAGCAGTTCTTCCTCACTTATTTTTCTCCTGCAAAGACATATCTTTTAAGGCTTTTTTGCAGACTCCATTAATTTTCATCCTTAAGCCTCCACGTTCTTCAGCTGGGATACTCCTAGTTCAAGGCCTCTCAAAGTCAAACAACTAAGAAAGATGAGCTGAGCATGCCTTGAGTTGCAGAGCAGCTGCACAAAAAAGGAAAATCGGATTTTCAAGTGCCAGACAAAGAATACTTTTAACCTGCGAAGCAACAAAAACCACTTTTTGTGTGATATTACAAGGAGGCTTTAATTTTTTCTGCACAGAAATTAATTCTGACTCTTTCCAATGAGTTTTAAAGTATTTTGTATGAGCAGGTGAACATTTACTTTGCTGCATTACTGACAGTTCCTAGAATGAGCTAACCACATTGCCGACATTTGTGCACTGAATTCAATCATAAATGGAAGTAAAATACTTTCCACTGTATTAACTAATACTAGCAAAATAAACAAATATTCTTATATAATTACAAACCAGTGAGCTTTGAATAATCAAATAAGATGCAGATTTTACTTTAAATCAGATCTCCATTTTTTTAAGTCCAAGCACATACTGAGAAAGGTCATGCACCATAAGACTGT